TTTTTTTAGCAGCATAGTGCTTTTTTTCCAATTACTTTTTAAAAGTCAGGTCAAGGCTCCAAAAGCCCAAAGGCGATATAAGGGTGGCGGCTCACAACAGTTTTTGTTTGCTAAATGTAATTGTAATTTTGAAATTGAAATGTAATTCTCTCTGTAGCACTTCATGGATTTCACAAGCAATAGACCTTAGTTGTTCACACAAAGCATAAAGGTAAAAAACAATATATACAGTGTTATCTTCATTTTAGATGTCAAAAAGTATTTGCGGCTCCCAGTGTTTTCTTTTGCGTGGAAATCGCGTCCTAATGGCTCTTTGGGTGTTAAAGGTTGCTGACCCCTGGTCTACACCGTCTCTGTCCAATAATGGCTAAAATGCCCACAAAACAAAACAAAATTAACACGAACTGCATAAACACTACCATTAGAAATAAAGACGCCCTACCTGTGATCTCTCCTTTCTGCACCGTAAAGGGAATGACCAGACTGAAGGGACGCAGCATCGGCTCCAGCCCATCCACAGGGCTGACGGGATCATCGGTAGCCTGAACCAGAACAAGAGGGGAGGGGCGTTAGTGGCATCATACTAGGAACTCTGGGATTTCATCCAGAGAGAGGGGAGAGGCAGAGGAAGCACAGCAGGGCTGCAGAGAGGCTGACAGAGACATCTGACTGGTCCAGTTTAGGTAACACTGGTTTAAGAGCGGGGAAAGGAAGGGAGCTTCTAACGATCAGAACTGAACTGGAACAAATGACTGCTGCACAGTCTCTGAGATAATAAGAAAATAATATTATATAGGTTAATATAAGAAATATTAACCTATCTAAGCATTTTGATATAAAGAAGCAAAATGAAATAGAGACAACAGCTCTGAAAACTATAACAAAACCATAAAATTACCAAAAAATTATAATTAAATACATTTAATGAAAAATAGAGTAAAGCAATAAAACAAAATTTTAAATTTAAAATAATGTCATACTAAAAATAATATGAAAAAATTATAAAAGTATAAAAATAAAATAAATTATAATTTTAAGAAAATACACAATTCTCTGAGATAATACAAAACAGATCAAATCTGTCTTGAAACTATTTCTCTAAAATCATCACATTGTCAGAACATCTGGATCAGCTGCTCTCCAGATGTTGAAGAAAAGTTGACATGCTGAATTGTCTCTGATATCAGCCAGTCAGAGGGTAAAAATCAGAGGGTAGTGTTAATAAGAGTAGCCCCCAGCTGCCCTCCCAGCAGGAGATGATGATCATGCAGATTAAACATGCAGCCTCATGCTGAGCCAGAGATCAATCAATAAGTGAATGTGGGTCGGTATCGACTGTGGGACAGGAAACGCTGCAGTGATGGAGGGCAAAGCGAGGAACAGATGACGGTTTTTATGAAGAGGAGACGCAGCGGCAGATAAACAGCAGGTGTGGAGGTAATGATGATACCCATTGAGGGGAGAAGGCCGCATAGGGAGAGTAGGGCTGCTGTAACTGAAGCTTGTCACATGGTTCCTCTATTATTGGGATGGTATCACTTGCCTGACGAGGAACAAGGTGCAGCCATTACAAACACAAGCAAACCAGAAACAAACACACCGAAAAGCGCAGCAATTTTCCACAGTTTCAGGAAATAAATCTGAAACATAATTAAAATATGGAACAATACAACAAATAAACAAAAATAAAACAAATAGTCAAAGAAAAATTAAGGATAAAATAGACTGCAACTTAAAATCAAATCAAAAATGAGACATAAAACGAATACATACATAAGATACAAAAAAAATACAAAAACAGCCACAAAAATAAAAGAAAACAAAAAGATGAACAAAATAATAAATAATAATACATTTATTTTCCTTAAACTGGAGATTTCTCCATCGTGTCAATGCTGTGAAGAATTCAGTTTCACAGTTTTATTCAAAGAGTTTGTTTTGTTTGGGGGTCAACTAAATAATTTAAATATTTGTTTTTTCATAGTGACAACTAATATTCATGAAAAAAAAAACCCCAAGATCAGTTGTGAAAGACATGCAGTTATACAGAGTGTTAAATAAATGAGCCATTAGCTAATCGATCTCCAGTGGCTCCAAATCTGATAGATTCAGATGGGTTGAGATAGTTGGAGGCGTAAAACTACTTTGGTATTTACATGAAGAAGCCTTGGAAGGACTGACCTTCAAACCAAACAAAACCCAATCCAAAAACCCCAACTTAAACTATCCCAAAACCAACCCCAACAAACACCAAACTGCCCCAAACCATCAAACCATCCCAAATCAAACCTAACTATGTAACCCTAAACAAAAACCAGACCAAAGCCAAACCAAACTCATGCCAACAAATCCCAAACAAAACCACTCTGAACCAAGAAAAAAAAAATCCTAACCCAACCTAAACTATCCCAAATCCATCCCCATAAAACCAACAATAACAGGCCAGAAAGTCAAAGCAAAACAAAGCTAACCTGACCACTTGACCCCAACTCAGTCCCAAACTGAAATCAGCTAAGCCCAAATCATGGTGTTTTCAGGGTGGTGACTCACCACGACATGAAAGGGGCTGTTAGGAATGTGTTCCCCTCCGAAGCGGATGGTGATGACGTACTTCCCTGGCTCTGGAGCCGTGTAATAAATATCAAACGTCCCATCTGCGTTCTCCACTACATCCACATCCAGCTCCGCTCCATCCGGCGTTGACACCTTACAGGTGACTTTACCTTTCCCTGCAGCCTTTGCATCCACGGTGATGACTGTTTCCTCTCCGATCTGGATGGTTGGTCCAATTCCTGAACCTGACAAGACATTTGTGGAACCAACAGAGTCAAAGCAGTGATTTCTGAAGTGATTAATGTTAATGAAAGAAAGCACACACTAATACCAGGGAGGTTAAATGTTTAGATTGATGCTGAGTTGATTAGGGGAAGCTTTAAGAGTGATCGTGAGCAGTGATTATAAGAAATAGGTTCTGATAACGGTGGTGTACCCAGCCTCAGAGTGAGTGCTGCTCAATGAGCTGTTAGAGTGGGTTGTTAATCTCTATTGTGTTTATTATCAATATGTTTATTGCACAATAGAAACCCTTAAATAAAACAATAAATTAAAGTCTTTGTCATTTATTTCAGTTTGCACTGAGTGTGTTTGAATTTGTTTGGGTGGGTTTAAAGTGCAAAACATACTTATAATAAATCTTGGATTTCCTTCTGTTTTCCAGACAGACTGACTGGACAAATACAGTGACAGTAATTGTGGGTAGTTACACATATGTCAAATATAGATGACAGGAAATGAGTGCAGAAATGCCACAGATAGTTTCGGTCTCATCTGGAGTCCGCTGGAGTTTATCCAGTGACCTCCAAGCATTTTTAATTCTCCACCCTACACACCAAAACATCTTTAAGTAGCTTCAAGCTGCACTGACAGATGTCCAGTTCCCAGCGCGTACTGGGATTTAGTTTAGCCATTGCTTAGCGAATGACATTTCCCATCACTCATACTGAAAGCTCAGAGAAACTCCCAGCCCATCTTCTGGCCTCTGAGAACAGAAATCACTGTATATTTAGCATCTTATTTTATTCCGTTCCTTCCACATATAACAGCTTCCAGCTAATTTTATATTCTTATTATTAATAATAATAATAATAACTTCTGAGGTGACCTTATATGTGTAGTTGCTGGTTGGTTAGTTAAGCAGCTGCTTTTTTATGCAAAACTGTAATGCTGTTTATCTGTTGGCGTTCAGTGAGTCTAAGAAAGTTGAGGCCACTCACCGAGTCCGTGTCCTCCAATCGACACTGTAGGAAAACAACTACAATCAGTGATGCTGCTAAGCTTCCAATGATAAAGTTTAAGTTTCAGTGCTGATGGGTGGAGCCTAACCTGTGACCAGACACTTGCTGGCGTCTCCGGTGGGCAGGGCGTGAATCCGGTAAGGTGAGTACGGGATCTCATCTCCTCCATATTTGATGGTGATGGTGTAGCGGCCCGCCATGTCCGGCACGTAGGACACTGTGTAAGTCCCATCTCTGTTGTCTCGAATGGTCGCCTTCTTGGGTTTTCCCTCTGGATCCTGGAAGCGTACAGACAAGAAGTTAGTCATGTTTGGGGTACAGAAAACATAAATAGGTCCCATTGCCCATCACTGGTCTCCTACCATCTGCCATCGATAGTAAGAAAAGGGAAAAGTAATATGAAGTCAAATTAATTTTATTTTACGGAGATCAGAGATCTTCTTGGTCACCAGACTGAGGCTCATTTCTTCATGTGTGGACACAAACAAACTGAACTGCTGGGTGGAAGCGACACTGAAGCTACAAACCTGCAGTTCCTCTGATGTCCAGCAGAGGCTTCAGCAGTGCATCAGTTAAAACCTTACATTAGAAATAAACATCTTTACAACCTGATACAGAAACTGTTTTGGTCTCTAATGATAATTTCCAACTTCTTTTGATGATTTTTAGGAATCTTTGTGATACATAAATGCAATCAATGGATTGTTTGGTCGGAGACATTCACACCAGTAGCCTGCTGCAGGTCATTCTGTAGGGCTCTGGCACTGCTCATCCTGCCCCTGCTTTTGTACAAAGTAGAATATACTTCTCATTGCAGTATTGGTAATACCCGGTTTCTGTATCTTGCACAGAAGAAGAGGACAAAACAGATTTTCTGGATAAACAAATATGTTAGAGATCAAACAACCAACATGAAATTCAGACTTCTGGATCTAAAACTTTTCACTGTGTCAGCGATGAGCAGTTGAATGTAAAAACAGGCGTAAAAAAATAAATAAATCTGATTTAACCTCCCTGTGCAGCAGCGCCCCCTGGTGTGTGGAAGCAGGCATCTACAGCTTATATCCATGTGAAAAACTAAAGTGTGTATCAGAAAGATTAACAGCTACCGCATTATGAACACTATCGTAGACCTGATGGCCGCTGATGGTTTGAGAGCAGTGGGCTTGTCACGTCCACAAGTGTTCTCACAGGATCTAACTATTCACTGCAGCAATGACAGGTCAGACAAGTGGATGGATGGATCATTGAATGGAAGCAGGTTTACCAAAAACTCTGGTTAGTTAACAACTCAAAATCAAATATGTCTGTTAACTCGTTAAACAAACTGAATGGAGTCAGTGCACGTGCAGACCACAGAGGGGTGGAAGCCAAGCAAAGTGCTGCCAATGAAAATTTGCTTCTAACGTTCCAGCAGATAATCTTTTTGAATCTGTTGTTGATTTGATGAACATTGAAAGTGATATTTCAAGTACTTGGACTCTAACACAGGAAACTATGAGCTTCGTTTAAAAGGCTTTAACTAAGAGCATTTACCTAACATCCTACCATCTGCCAGGTCAGATGTGAACTGCTAAGGGAAAGGGCTGAAATTTGTTCTCTCACTCTTATTTTATCCTTACAGTTCTTCCATTATAAGATTTCCATTTAAGTGTAACTAACAGATAAGATTCCATATTAAGGAGTTGATTATAAGAGCTTAACCACGTACAGCTATTCTTTCTTTGAGTCTCAGTTTTTAATAACATCCATGAAACTAATAATGAGTTTCATGGATGTTATTAGCGTCACAGGAATATTCACACTTTAGATCTTATGCAGAATATAAGAGCGGTGAAAACAGCCAAAGGCTACACAATGAGGAGGCAGTCAGCGGGGGAGAACAGGTGGGTTGGGCGGGGGGACAAGAGACAGGTAAAGGGGGAAGGAGGTGAAGGGAGAGAGTGCAGGGCTTACAGAGCCTCTCCTAAGAATACTGAAGGGGATGGTTTTCTTTACTATGTGAGTCTCCCACACCCTCCTGCCCCAGTCTTCCACAAACAATGAAGCCTCGCGACTGCAGCCGTCTGGACCCTGCAGTGACAGCAACAAGCCCGCCGGTCTGCGTTTGAATCGGGGTGAGTCAGAAACAGGTCACAGAAAAGCAACAAGACACGACAGACACCTCCCTGCCAAACACTGACCGGGCAGCACAATGATGATTTCAGGACAGGAGACTCACCAGAATCTGGACGGTGAGCAGTCCTTCTCCAGCATCTCTGGCATCAATGGTGAACTCCACTGGCAAGCTGGCTGGAACCCCAGATGCATTCAGACCGGGACCACTGGCTCGAACTTTGCTAGCATCATGAGCCGGTAACGTCTTGATTTTAAAAGGACTGAAGAGACAGTTAGAAAGGTTAAATCTGAACCTGAAGGACCAGAACTGTCTTGTACACGCTTCTCTTCAATACCAACCTCCGGGGCACTTCCTGGTCGGCATACTTTACGCACACCGTATATGGGCCATCGTTGGCAGGAGTATAGTTGACCGTGTGAGTGCCATCACCATTATCTGTGATGTTGAGTGGCTCAGCTACACCTGAAGACAAACCAGAGCACAGGGCAAGGCCACAATGAGGTGATATCAGGTGATTAAAGCTAATGGGAGAGTTTCATGACAATACTACTAAAGAAAGATTTAACTCCAGCTTGATAATGAGTTGGTCTGACTGGAAGTCCCACGGGTATAAGGTAAGGCAGGTGCAGCTTTTTTGGAACAGCTATCCTGGTTACCAATTCCCTGGGCAATGTTACGAGGTTAATAAGTCTTTGTAATCTTACCTGTTGGTCCATATAGCTGAACTGACAGGGGAGCCACCCCTGCCTTGCTGCTGTCTACAGTAAAAGTCTGAGGAACATGAGCCCGGACTCCACTTCCAAGGCCAGGACCTGAACACCTCACCATACTGGGATCAACCAGCTCTCGCACTGGGACCCGGAATGGACTCCCTGAAAGACAAGTGACGTAATAGACGCTCTTGATTGCAGATATCTTTACCTTAGAAAAGCGCAGAGTCAGTTATATCCAAACCACACCCTACAGGGTTAAGTGACCTTCACCTGGGATTGGTAAGCCTCCAAAGGTGATATTGACGTCATATTCTCCAGGTGTGAAGGGGATATACTCCACACTGCAGCTGCCATCTTTGTTGTCCTTACATGACATTTTTGCCTCTGATGGACCCTCAATGGCCAGGCCAAGTCCCCCAGTGCCAGCACCTCTGAGGCACGCATGAAACAAAAAGGAAGTTTAGGATGTTTAAACAGAGATCTATGGATGCTACAAAATCTATTCTGGATTTAAAAACAGAGTGACGATACCTGGTCTCAACAGTGAATCGGTTTGGTTTGTTCACCAGTCCTTCCTCCAAACCTGGACCGTAGGCTCGGACTCGACTGGGATCACAACCCTCGCTCACGGACACCCTGAACGGACTCTTTGGCACCGAGATGTCATCCAAAAGAACTTCAATCAGATGTAAACCTTCAGCAAACAAGAGTCCAGTAAAAGTGAGTATTTTAATGGATAGAGTCAAGATAATGTGGGTGAAACCATTCTGCAGTGATCCGGTGTGTAGATGTCACTGAGTAACCTCCTCATTGCTCTGTAATTTGTTTGTTCTCTTAAACTTGTATACGAAGAAATACAAATTAAATGCTTTACACATTTATTTATTTATCCGTCTTCAGCTGTTGAGTGTGTTGTTTCAAAGTAACCCAAACATTTAATGGTCACTCGTTTTTTTACCCCACGGTTCAGTTTTTAACCAGCAACCTCTCAGGCAGAGTGGGAGTAAACCAGACAAAGAATCACCTTCCATTAAAATTCCAGTCTGACTGAGTATTTCTTTCCCACAATGCAATGGACTCTAACACGTCACACTTCACTATCAGTGGAAAACCATCTGCTGAGCGCCGACAGACTGCAGCTATAAATACCCTTGGTCCAAACCCGCTCCTCACTGAGAGGTTAAAGGACCAGAATCCAATCATTGTAACTTATGTTCAGTACATTACTATAACTGACTATAACAGTAGCACATGCAGGGTTAAGCTTTGAGCAGCAGATATTTGTCTGAGCTTCAGGCACTTAAATATTAAATCAGATATATTTGCTCTGGAATGGTAATTATGCCCTGGATGTTGATTGCTGCTAACCCCTCTGTACACAGACTGACCGCAGTTCAGCCAACAGTCCTTCATGGCTGGCGAGGGAAAACAAGCCTTATGAAAGCCAAATGGAATTTTATTTCACAATTAGGAGGTGTTGCAGTGGAAAAACACCCACAAACCAGCAGCAAACCGTCGTCTTGCCCGTCCTCTGTCTTTGCTGACGATCTGCAGCCAGGCTCACAAACAACACACAGGTCTCAGGCTTACCGTCCTCATACGGTGTGTACTCGACTTTGTATGTCCCATCTCCCTTGTCGGTGACGTAGGCGTCTGTGTTGGCGCCTGACGGATTTGAGATCGAGGTTTTGATATGGCTGCCACCGCTCTTGTAGTGAGCTCGAGCGTCCACGATGAAATGAGTGGTTACTTCCCTCAGGATGCCTGTGGAGAGGAAAGCAGCACGAAGGCAAAAAAGTAGAGAAGAAAGTTAGTCAATGTCTCCATGAAATATAACATCCCATTTTTTACCAAGATGCAGAGAAGGACTCATCACTTTTAATCATATCCAAAGACAGTAAAATATTTGAAATATTTCACTGAATACAGTCATACTGAACAGATTATTTAAAGTGCTACAGAATTCATGTTCAGTTTACAAACAATCAGCCATATTAATCACTTAATTTATGTTTTTGGTTCCAGTCACATAAATTAAAAAACCCCCAAACATGATAGAAAACGTGTATCATTAACACAGATCATAGTTATTACAAAAGATGGACTTTAGCTTCTAGTGCTGCATTTTCTGTCATTTCCAGCAGGGGGCGACTCCAGTGAAGTCTGATTGGATAAAAGTCTCTGAGCTCAGCCAACTCTTTCTCAGTCGCTGCTTTCAGGTCTGATTGAATAGAACAACAAGTTCATTTTGGATGCCGTGGCTCTGTTAGAGGTATGACGTTCTATCACTTTCCAGCTTCATATTTTAACTTTCACAGCATGACTTAGATCAGGACCAAAGGTTGTTTCAGGATAAATCCATCAGAGTAATGCAACAAGCACTCATTTCTTCTTTGCTCTTTGTTTATTGATTAAATTAGTAATGTGAGCATTCAGCAACTTCTCCCATTTGTTCTCATTATAAGACTTTATGACTTCAGTGCTCTTTTATTGGTTTTACTTTAATCTCAATTTAATAAAGACTGCAATCGAAATACGGAAAGAAAAACGTAATAATTAAAAAAAGAACAACATACAAACTAAATGTGCTGTTGGGAGTTTATTAACTGTGATAATGGAGTCTGGTGGCGTCCAGGAGGCCAATGAACCAACCACAGAGAGCTGAGCCTAAACCAGATCACACTGGAAACAGTCCTGTCGTCGTAAAAACAGACCTCAGAACAGCAGAGAGTTTGGAAACTCTAATCACTGAGACGGATAGGCTAATTAGGGCTGAAAACAAGTTAAAGGCTCCCCTATGGTTTATTAAGGAAAATAGAAGGTAATGTGTACCCCATAACATAGAGGAGCCAAAACCCCTGCATCTTTAGTGGCAGACGTCCTGTTAGGGTCAGGGGCGTTTCTGGACATGTTTTTATATCAGGTGCATGTATCATATTTTATACACATACATGGCAGTGGCATTACGTCACTAAAATTTTGCAGGGGGTTTTGTGGAAGCATTTTGCACCCCTGCATGTTTACAGCTAATAAAAATCAGTACATTTTCACAGCTTCTCACACGTGTGCAAAATCTACTGAGTTTTCTGTCGTGTTTAGAGCACAAAATCGATGAGCAAATTTGATGACCAGATATTGTTTTACATTTGTGTTTGATTAAAGTATACAAACCTCAGACATCCTTCTTTTAACTGGGCATTAAAACATCTTTAAGTGCTCACCTCTGGGTTCCACTCCTGGTCCATAGACCTTCACTCCGCTGGTGTCAACAGCTGGGTCCACCTGCAAGCGAATGGGGAACTTTGGCACCATGTGTCCTCCATATTTAATGGTGATGGTGTACATGCCGTGGCACTGGGGTATATATGTGATGGAGTAGGTCCCATCACTGTTGTTCTGAATGTGAACTTCAGCTTTGGCCCCAGAGTCAGAGATGATCTCGATGGTGAGCTCATCCTCTCCGGCTTTGGAGCAGTCCACCGTGAAGGTTCCAGCCTCGTTGACCTTGCCTTGCTCCAGCCCGGGGCCGCTGGCTGTCACCTTGCTGGGGTCAAACACTGACTGGACCACAGCCTTGAAGGGAGAACCGGGGATGTGCTGGTCTGCAAACAGGATGTTGATGGCGTATTCACCAGGCTCAGTCGGCAGGTAGGACACAGAGCAGGATCCATCACCATTGTCCTGGCATTCAATCTTGGCCTCACACGGCCCCTCCACTGTCAGACCCAGACCACCAGTACCAGCACCCTTTGTGTCAATGGCAAAGGGGGCTGGTTTGCCTACCACACCACCCTGAAGGCCTGGACCGTAGGCTCGCACCTGGAAAGTAAATGAAAAAAACCAGAAGAGACACAAGAAATACTTATTAATGCTGGTTAGCAGAAGACATTAGCTTTAAGTCTGAGGTTTGCACCAGAATCAGCACAGATGATCGACTGAACATCCATGGATTACTAAACTGGTAGGCCTGAAAAACATTCACACAAGTAAAGATTTACACAAGGATTTCTCAACTAAGTACTAAGTCATATTTGCTTGGGGATCAAATAATTATTTTATTCAATGACATGCAGGAACTTAGTGAGTGATTAAAGATAAATTGCTTGAAAATCTTTGAATACAAATCTGTGAAGGTTCTCAGTCATCCAGGTCATTGTAGTCTAAGGAGCTTGGAAAGAAAAGTGTCTGGACTTCTTTAAGTTTCTTTGAAGACGTCTGACCTCTCATCCGAGAAGCTTCATCAGTTCTAAGAGCAACTGGTGGAGAGTCCCAGATTTTAAGCCCTATGCGTTTGTCCCCATGAGAGTTATGGACCTCCTTAATGATCCTCTACCTCAGGGGTGTCAAACTCCAGGCCTTGAGGGCCGGTGTCCTGCAAGTTTTAGATCTCATCCAGGGTCAACACACCTGAATCAAATGGTTAGTTCATTAACAGGCTTCTGGAGAACTTCAAGAAATGTTGAGGAGGTAATTTAGCCATTTAAATCAGCTGTCTTGGATCAAGGACACATCTAAAACCTGCAGGACATGGGCCCTCGAGGCCTGGAGTTCGACACCTGTGCTCTACCTAATCACATGAGCCAAGGTGTGAAAATGGGTGTCGTCACAATCAGCCAAGCCATTGTGAAACCTAGCCCCACCCTATCATGTGATTTACTGAGGTCAAATTGCCCAGGATGTGAGTGGGCATTAAGGTGTCTGGGAAGGGATCTCAAAACTGGATTATAGATGGCAGATAGTTGGTGTCGTAAACCCCCGCCTCTGTTTAAAGATGGTCGTTCACTGTGGACATAAATGACTTCTTTCACTCCTCTTTCAAACCATCTGTCTTCCCCTTTCAAAATGTGAACATTGGCATCTTTGTCCTTTAGATGCAGATGGACAGCTGAGTCTTGTCCCATGGAAGTGGCTCTTCTATGTTGTGCCATGCGTTTATGAAGTGGCTGTGTAGAGGTCTGGGCATTCCTTGCTACACTGTACAGCATGCACCACGTTGTTAAGTTTGTGTTTAGGAGTTTTGTCTTTGGGATGAATCTGTTTTTGTCTAGGTGAGTGGGTCTGAAGTACACTGGGATGTCATCCTTGGAGAAAACTCTCCTGAGTTTTTCCAAAAAATGGCTATACAGGGAATGACAATATTGTTGCGTTTGCCTTTCTGATCCTTCCTAGTTGGTGTCTGATACTTTTTTCTGTGCATCTTTGCTGACTCGATGAAAGCCCAATTAGGATAACCACATGTCTTTACTTATTCTGACAAATATTAAAATTCTATCAGTGTGGGTTGTTGTGATCTTAACTCACCTTTGAAGGATCAGGGGGCATGATGCCCTCCACAGTGAATGGACTTCCTGGGACAGGGTTCCCATCGTAGCTGATGTCCACTCTGTATGGTCCTTCCTCAGGAGGAATGTACTTCACTGTATGAACCTCATTGGCTGTGCCCGACTCTACCTTGCAGGGGATTGGTCGACGAGAAGGGGAGGTGATCTTCACGTCTAGTTTGCCCTGACCTCCAGCACCTTGAGTACAGATGGAGAACTCCTGATCCTTCCCAACGTCTACTTCTGATTAGTGCACAGAAACAGCAGGATGGTCAGCAGGAACAGGGGTTTGGGGTTTAGGATGTTGATAACAGTGAAGTCTGAACATCTTTTTAAGCTGTACCCACACAGAGGACAATTCACTCACTGTGCATCGCTTTCAACCTGATGGTTGGTCGCTACCAGGCTCCAGTTACCTAGGTAACATTCTAATGTATTTACTAGCCAGTCATATGTCATTCACCAGTATCCTGAGCTAAGTAGCAATCACTTTAATTGCTCTCCTTAAAGTTGAGAAACGTTTATGTCACGCGTGACATCATTGAATGTCATTGATTTTCCTGTCACCATGTGAATTTTTTCCTGTGTGGATGCAGCTTTAGACATAAAGATGAAAAGCTATTATTTTTGGAAATGCTGGCGTGTGTTCGGCTGCACATTAAGGGATATTTCTGTTGGAATCCTTTGATACCGATTATAAACGAAATGGAAAAGTGGTCTAAGCAGTTCAAGCTTGTTTTATGTTAAATGATTCAGAAAGAAGAGAAATTTCCACTGCAGATCAGAATTACACATCAGTTAGATTAAATTTAATGAAACAGAGCTTGAATGAACAGCAGCTCAGAGTCATTAAGGATCCCCATGAAGGGGTTGTGATTGTCTTTCAGAGGAACCCCTGGATTCTTTTGTTTACTTATCTAATCCATCATTTACTCTCCACCTCACTTATTATAATTAGTACCAAACTGTGCAGGACTCTCTATGGAAACATCCTGTAATCTAAAGCTAAACAGCAGCTTGTATTTAGGAATTTGTGATGAATAATTCCAGGAATTTAGCTGGAAACACGCATTCTCTGCTTCATCTGCTGCGTCATGAAACCCGATCAGGGCTCCATATGGAAGCACTTTGCTTCTGTATGATAAATGTTCCATTTTTTTCCTCACAGACTTACTGTTGTTCAGTCCCTGAACTTTGACCTTGTTGAGGTCCAGTGGGGGGGCCACAATGATGGTGAATGGACTCTTTGGGATGGGGTCTCCTCCATGACACACAATGATGGACATGCTCCCCTGAGAGAAACACAAGCAGTGCTTAACTTATGTCCATCAGTCACCTCACAGGTAATCCATCACACATGTGAAGTTGGTGTGTTACCTGCTGCACCGCCGTGTAGCGGACAGTGTATGAGTAGTCATGGTTGTCGATGATCTCAAAGTCTCGGACGGCATCACCTTTAGTTGCTCCGGTGAAGTGGACCTCAGGTTTGGCTTTACCAGCTCCCTTTGTATAAATGGTGAAGTGGGTGGGCTTACCCACCTCCACCCCTGCAAAGTTCATACAGAAACTTTATTAATAAGGTTCTTCTATGTGCAGCACTTTGTGATTCTCTGTCTAGAAAGGTGCTATATAAATAAAATTTTACTTTATCTAATTTAATACAGATAACAAGCTAAAACCTGCTGTCCCCCTGATGGGAACAGGGGCTCCAGCAGTGAGCCAGTCCTAACAGACTAATTAAAGATTAAAATGTCCAACTTTACAACAGATATAGATGTTTATAGTCTGATACAGTCTTTTTAGA